CTCCTTAATCCGCTCCAGCAGCGGAGTAATCACTGTCATGCTCAGGCATATATCCTGAATCAGAGTCGCGACCTCCTTACGGCTGAGTGCATAGGCCACCACATTAGCCTTCCACAGGTTGTAAAGGATCTCGCAATCCTAATCCTTCACCACATCCAACCAATATTGTTGTCTCATGTTCAGATTTGGCTGATCCATCAAGTACCTCAGGCTCTTGTGGTCCGTGTAGATATTACATCAGACCCCATAGAGGTAGCATCGCCAAATTTTGAGGGCAAAACAACTGCCCCTAACTCCAGGTCGTATGTCGGGTAATTTGCCTTGTGAGGCTTCAACTTCCTTGAGGCGTAAGCGATGACGCACCCTTTCTGCATCAATATTGTGCCTAAGCCTGTGATAGACACATCACAATACACTATGAAATCCTTAATGCCCTTTGGCAGAGTCAATATCAGTACCTCGCACAACTTCTGCCTCAAAGTCTCGAAAGTCGCCTGATGCTCAGGCCCCCACCGGAAAGTCATCAACTTCTTCGTCATTTGGGTCAGTAGAACAACAATCTTGGAGAAATCATGGATGAATCTTCGATAATAACCCGTCAGACCAAGAAAAGTCTGAATCTTGGATAGAGACCTCGGAACCTTCCATATCATCACGGCCTCTACCTAGATCAAATCGACTAGTATACCGTTCTGGTTGATGAGGTGTCACAAAAACTGCACCTTGCGCAATCAAAACTCGTACTTTGAGAACCTTGCGAAATATTTCTGATACATCATATTATTCAAATAACCTATTAGATTTTCATATACATCAGATTTTCAAACTTGGAATTCACATAATAGATTTTCAAAATTGGAATTCACATAATAGATTTTCAGAATTGGAATTCACACAACAAAACTCCAATACCATAATTTTAATATCAGAATTTCAGTATCAAAATTTCAGATACATCTGTTTTTTAAAATAAGAATTTCAGTATCTTAATTCACTTAAGAATTTCAAATACATCAAATTTCACATTACAGATTTTCAATATCAGAATTTCAAAATCAAATTATATAGAAATACAAAATTTAGAATATTATAATGGATTTCAAAATCAGAATGTATATTATCAGATTTTAAATTAGAATTTAGCATACATCAGATTAATCAGAAATAAGAAAAAACAATTACATCAAGAAATTTAAGAAAATCTTATAACATTAAACCTTATAAAAGTTTCAAGAAATTTAAAAAATTGAAATACCTCGGGAAATCATGGAACTTATAACAGCCCTAGCCCTGGATAAGAAGATTACAACTTTGATTAACATCTTATTTTCAGCAGTAAGTTATATAAAAAAAACTAAAATTTCATAAAATCAGGGAAGACTTACCTGGATCGATTACTGCTCATTGAAACTTCACTTTAATATGACCGATTAGAAGAGTGAATGATTGTTTGAATCTTCAGAAGTGTAATAGGATTGTAGAAGAAACGATTCAGATTGAAGCAAAATTAGGAGCGACTAAGAGAGACTGAGAGAAGAAAACAGAACATTTAGTTTGAATTGGACTAGATGATTTTTATTTTGAATGGTCCATCACCTTCTAGAAAACCAGACGCTTCGTCTTCATCATCTTCAATTATTAGGTATGACCGCGTGGCTGGTGCTTGGATCGAGAAGTGGGAAGCTGCGAAATCAAATTCCAATCGACATCGAATTAGGTCTCAATGTTGATAATTGATAAGCGCTTTCGGCTGCCTTTTTTGAAATGGATTGGACTTTGGTAGTGAATCAATGTCCCAAATAAGAGAATATATATAACCGACATCAAAAGATTCATGCCCCTTCAGGATTTGTTGCCCTAGGCCGTGGCCCAGCTCGTCCTGGGCTTGGGCCGCCCCTGCAAGTTGATTTTTATATTATGAACTACCTAGGAAAGGTTGTACCCAAAACAAAAGGTGCTTGTGGCAAATGTTTAAAAGCCAAAAACATTTGTGGCAAAATTGTAAAGTATCATGCAATTTATTTTTATATAATGGTAGATTGAAGAAAAAACACTAACACAAAAAGAATAAAGCCTACCAGATTTCTAGAAAAAGCAATTTCTCATTTTTACAATAAATCGTTTTACGTGTCTTTTGCAAAAGTGTGTTATGCAATTTATTTTGCAGTTGGATTATGTTGATAAAATTAATGTCAGTAGCAAATGGGGATGTAGCTCAGATGGTAGAGCGCTCGCTTAGCATGCGAGAGGTACGGGGATCGATACCCCGCATCTCCAATTTCATGCTTTAATTTGGCATTCAGACTTTTTTCCTAAAAATTCATTTGTTCAAACGATTAATTGCAAAAAAGAAAAAAGGAGTTACTAACATGCTTCTCCAAATCACAGTAAACATATTCAAAATAATGGTAAATGCAGTAATTAAAAAATAACGGTATATGTAGTAGTTAAATTTTTTTAAAGTTTTTAAATTTTTTTTTCATAATTTTTACTTATGTCAATTTTTAAATTCAAATAAATTTAATATACCAGTCTCACAATTAATTATAATTATATTGAGAATTCCAGCATCAATCTTAACCCAAATAAATAAATAGATTAAAGTCATTAAACATATCTACCTATTTAATTAAGCGGACTGAAACTTATCCTAAGAATGGGTTCGGATCTGATAGAAAAGATGGAAGGGATAATGACTTGGGAGGGTAATTAGGTTTCTTGTTTGTCCGCATTAGGTCACTTAGGTTTTTTTTGTGCGTATTAGACCATTATGGTCGTAATTACCGTTTACATTTAACCTTTTTTACCGTTTGCTTCTTGTTTAGCTTAGTTGGCAGCTTACGTGTCCGGTGGCATGCCTATAACAACCCCATCGAGTCCACCTCAAACAATGTCCTATTTTTCTTATGCCCTAAATTGAAGAGTTGAAGAAGAACAGAAGAAGATGTCGCAAGCCTCCATCGCCTCCACCTCAAACAACCGAATCATGTGCTACTGTGGGCTCCCGAGTCGGATTCGAGTCTCCACGACACCACAGAATCCGGGGAAAAGGTTCAGAACATGCCCTAATTCGTTGGTAATGGCCAATTTTGAAGATTGAAGCTTTTCTCTCTTTAAATCTCTGTTATAAGTGTGTAAGTTATGGCATTTATGCTAAAGTTTTGTTCTTTTTCATTTTTTTTTATAGAGAGCAGGGAGAAAGTTTGGATTTTGGGAATGGGTTGTTGAAGATCCGTACACAGAGGAGCTTTTGGGTCTTAGTCATGAGTTGAATGAAATGAAGAAGATGATGAAATGGCATAAAGTAGCTTTGATTGTCTTGTTTCTATTGTACTTTGTTAAATTATATTGAATGGAATTATGATGCAGTTGACATCTTTTGAATATAAAGGGTACCCATTATTTTGTTATTCTGATTGTAAGGGTACCTATAATGTAATGAAATCATATGTCTGAATGCAAATGAAGCTTTTGGTAATGAAAATTTTAATTGTAATGTATTGAAATCTAAATGCTATTATAGTGAACAACCAATCTCAGTGTAATGCAAAAGCAATAATTATAATGAACAACCAAGAATCAGTTAAAAGTTTTAAAGGAGAAAATATATTAAAGGAAGAAGCAGTAATTGAAGGCAAAGTACATTTGTAAAGCGCATGATTCAACAACCAAGAATCAATTTAAAGATTTAAAGCAAAAAATATATTAAAGGGTAATATTGTCATAGCTACAAACACCCTTAAAAAGGTGTCCCATTAAGCATCAAAATAGCATCAAAAGCTGGATAGTTTTGTCCCTTAGTCTAGTACAACATTACATTTAATATCAAAAGATTCGACCAACACATGCTTACCTAACATTTACACCCCACATGCATACATAACAAAAAAAGAGTTCAACATCAAACCTACAATCAACCCAAATCTACAGGTTTGTTTGAACTACAACCACTACCATCCTTGGGCACCACTTTTTTCCTCAGGCATTGTTTGATGATTCTTTCTGAAGCTTTCCTCTTTCTCAATTGAACTTCACTTTGAATTGGTCTTGCAGAAGTGGATCTTGGAGTTACAGGAGTGGATCTTGGTCTTGGAGTTGCAGAAGTGGATCTTGGTCTTGGAGTTGCCGGAGTGGATCTTGGAGCTACAGAAGTGGATCCTGGTGTTGGACTTGGAGCTGCAGAAGTGGATCCTAGTGTTGCACTTGGAGCTGGAGTGGAAGATCCAGGAACCGGATCACCTGTTGTTGGAATTCTTTTTGTTGGGCACCCATTTTTTTTATGCCCACTAACATAGCATATTGAACACCTTTGCACCTGCTTTACTCTTGATACTGTGTGTCTGCTTGATATCTCCCTTTCTGCTGTACTTTTCCTCCTCTTAGTAGATGGCCTACCAGGTAGCCTTCTACTCTTTGGGGGTAAAGGTTTGGTGTACTCACTTTGTGTCCATAAAGAGCTATCATTCAAAGGATGAATAATGTATGCATAGCAGGTGAGATAAGTTGCCTTACTGTAACAGTTAGCTACATAATCCTCTGAGTTTAAGTTCATGGATGAAATTGCAGCCACTCCATGTACACAGGGTATTCCAGTCAACTGCCATCTCCTGCATCCATAAGTCCTTCTGATCAGGTCAACTGCATACCTGTCATTACATAATACCACCTCAAATTGTTGATACCCACAAGGGTACACAGCCCAGAATCTGTACATAAACATAAAACAGGTAAGAACACATAAACACATGTATAAATATTAACAAGTAAATACAAACATTCTTACCTTTGTTTCTCCTTCAAATCTCCTATTTTCTTCCTAATGCTTGGGCATATAGTTAAATCCCAAGCCTCTCCTTTACTCCTCTGATGGTATAACCTCTGCATCACATAAACCCTTATATCCTCCAACATTGCTATTATTGGTTTATGTCTAGCCTGAACTATTTCAACATTAAAACTCTCTGAAATTCCATTTTCCACAGCATCACAAAATACTCCTTCTACTTGAAAAGCCCTGCAATAACATTTAGGGTCCCTCTCCATGAGATAATCAAATGCCCCCTGTCTAATTCCTTGATCTCTTGCATAGCAGCTTCATGTCTCTGTTTTGTAGTAGCCTTCACAGCTCTCCAAAATGGCTTGATAAAATGCTCACCTTTGAACCTTGTGTTAAAGTTGGCTAGTATGTGCCTAGCACATAATCTATGCTCAGCATGAGGAACCCTTTCTTTGATAGCTTCAATTAAACCCTGTACAATTTACAATATTAATTAATAATTAAACTATAAAGTTAAGAGTAAACATGAGTAGTACCTTGTGTCCATCTGATATAAGAGTAAGCCCATTTCCACTGCCTCTGATCCATGAGTAGATCAAGAAACCATTTCCAAGTGTCTTTGTTCTCAACAGTCACAACAACCCAAGCTAGTGGGAACATGCTGTTATTGGCATCCCTACCCATGGCAGCTAAGAGTTCACCTTTTGCAAATTCCTTTGAGAAAGCACCCATCAATCCCAATGAGTTGTCTACACCCTTCTACCCAACCATCTCTTACACCTTTAAAGCATACATACAACCGTTCGAAAATTAGACTTCAATCAAGGGTATGGTCAACAACCATACTCATAGTTGATCCTTGATTAGCTCTTTTGATTTCTATGCCATAGTCCCACAACCTACTATAATGCTCTTTTAGAGTGCCTTCTATCTCAGACAATGCAAACTTTTTTGCATTTCTACATTGTCCAATGCTAACTATGATGTTGTATGTGCTAGAGATTTGAGCTTTCATCTTCCTCAAACTAAGCCTGGGGTTTTCCAGAAGTACATTGAAATATTGTTTCCCTATCCAATTGTAATTCACTAAGCCTATTTTAAAAACTCTACCACAATTATGACTTGATTTAAGTGACTTAATCTGAAAAGTCCTTTCCACTTGCATCCAAGAAGCCCACAACCGAAAAGGACATATAAGTTCTTTGTATTTGCAACACTTCACTAGAAGTCTGTTTTTATCATTCTTTTCATACCACAAATCATAACCATGCGTAACAACATAGTTGGTAAGACATTGTTTAAGTTCAGTAGGATTGGTGAATTTCATACCTAACACAGGAGCCATTTCATCCCATTGTTGCTCAAAATTGTGCACAGGGTATATAAGTGGTAGTTGCTCAACATTCGAATCTTCTTCCTCTTCAACATTTGGACAAAGTTTGTTCAAAAACCTGTCTTTATTCTGAATAGTTGTTGTTGCCCTTTTCATTGAAAAATCCTCATCATCCACCTCGTGTTCCCAACAGTCTTTATCTATTAACATTGAATCAACATCTTCATCTGCTTTGGAGTTGGTATCATCTTTAATTTCAGGCTCTTCCATTTCAATCCAGTCGTCGAACAGGGGTTCATGCATATGGTCCACATACACATTTACTTTCTTTTTCTCATGGAGACACTCATGAAATTCGTGGTAATCACATTCGTTATGCAATGCGGCCAATCCTTGACACCATGTTTGCCCATCTAGACAATAGTATACATCTTTGCACATTCTTCTAGTAATCACGTTGAGGTGAGCAATGAATTTAGCATACCCCATCTCCATGAAATCGGCGTACATTATCTCCTTTTTATCTGGATCAAAATAGATTGGTGGTTTGTTGATGAACATCCCGTTGTACCAGACTTCAACGACTGGTGTATCAGCTTCAGCCATTTGATTGTGGATTGATCGAAGTAAGAACAATGGGTGGGGACGATTGAGTGAGAGTGAAGAGAAAGTGGCCCTAATTTAAGGAGACCTAATATACATTAAATGCCACCTAATTATCCACGTAATGGCCTAATAACCACGTAACACCCGTATTCACTTTGTAACCGGTTAAACAAGAAGCAATCGGTAAAATGGATTAAATGTAAACGGTAATTACGACCATAATGGTCTAATATGCACAAAAAAACCTAAGTGACCTAATGCGGACAAACAAGAAACCTAATTACCCTACCAAGTCATTATCCATACTACAAAATCTTATTTGTTTTCATCTTTTCAAAAAAGTTATTTTTTAACTACAATTTCTATAGAAAGTCTATCTTAAATTTAAGACAAAATTTCATAATTGGTACCTTTTGTTTGCAAAATATTTCACTTTGAGAATTTTCAAGGAAAACGTCACGCCACTGTTCCTGTGTTTTGCAAAATTATACGAAAGTTCTTGGCGCCGTTAAATCAAACTTTTTAGCTGTTAGATTTTAATGAAAAATACTATTTTGCCCTTCTACTAAATTTGCAATATACTACGAACCTCAAGGACCATTTGTGTAAGCTTATAAATTCGAAATTTTTTACATACATAAATTATATATATATATATATATATATATATATATATATATATATATATATATACATATAATTTCAACAATTTGATAACTTTTTTTAATCTTGATGACATTTTGTTTTTTTCTTTATAATTTTAGTTATTTATTGTTTTTTAATGTTTTTATTTATATTAATTCAATTAAATAAACTTAAATTCGATAAACAATATCGAAAACATGAGTTTATTTTTTAATTTTCTTATTTCTAAACAGAAAAATTAATGTTTTTTTTTAATTTTTTTTTAATTTTTTTTTAAGGTTCATATTTTGTACTTAGATGTTATATAGTTAATATTATTATCAGCTTTATGTTTGTGTTTATCATTATCATTATGTCACCTTTTATTTTCTATTTTATATATATACATATATATATATATATATATATATATATATATATATATATATATATATATATATATATATATAACTTTAGTTATTTATATTCTTCTATTGTTTTTATTTATTTTGATTCAAGTAATGAAAAATAGAAAAAAAAAGTTACAAACACCAAAATTATAATATACTCTATTATATTAATACATTTTATACTTGTCATTTTTTTTGTTTTTTAAAAAATTTTCATGTTATTTTATTGATTTTTTTTCGTTTTTTCCTATTTTTATTTTTTATGTTGTTTCATTTTATTTTCGTCTGTTTGATAAAAAAAAATCCGACATTTTTCTAAAAATGTAAAATGTATGAATATATTAGAGTATATTCAAAATTTGGTGTTTGAGTTTTTTGGTTTTCTATTTTTTTTTTGATGATTTTGGTTGTTTATAGTTTTTTTAATTTTGATTCGAGTAAATAAAAAAGTTATGTTTATTTTCTTCATTTATATTTGTAAATATAACTATTTTATTTACTCGAATCAAAATAATAAAAAAGTTACAAAAACCATAATTAACCAAATTATAATAAAAAAATACAGAAAACCAAAAAAACTCAAACACAAAAATAGTAATATACACTAATATATTGATACATATTATAATTTTTGGAAAAGGTCAAAAAAAAGTTATCAAATTGATGAAAAATAAAACAAAAAAAAAATTTAAAAATAGAAAAAAAAACTAATATGAAAAAGTTAAAAAAATATATATGAAAAAACAAAAAAAAAAAAATGAAAATTCTAAAATGTATAAATATATTAGAGTATATTACAATTTTGTTATTGGAGTTCTTGTTTTTTGTTTTTGTATTTTCGATTACTTGAAACAAAATAAATAACATCAATAGAAGAATAATACATAACTAAAATTATAAAACAAAAATAGAAACAAAATATGAAATAATGACAATGATAAATGCAAATATAAAGTTGGTAACGATATTAACTATGTAGCATTAAAGTAAAAAAAAACATGAGTCGTAACATCATAAGAAAAACATTAACGTTTCAATTCACAAATAAGAAAAATTAAAGACCGATTTCGACATAGTTTATTGAATTTAAGTTTATTTATTTGAATCAAAATAAAACATTAAAAAAACCATAATAACTAAAATTATAAAAAAAATATAGAAAACAAAACGTCAAAAAAACTAAAATAAAAAAGGTTATCAAATTGTTGAACTGTATAAATAAATATATATAAAATTTATATATACAAATTTATATTTATAATTTATATATATACAAAATTTCATATGTACAGAATTACACAAATGGTCCTTGAGGTTTGTAATAGATTGCAAATTTGGTACAAGGGGAAAATAGAATTTTTGATTAAAATGTAACAACCGAAAAGTTAGATTTAATGGCATGAGGACTTTTCATATAATTTTGCAAACCATAGGGACCAGTGACGTGATTTTTCCTTGAAAGTGCTCATAGTGAGATATTTTGCAAACCGGAATGACCAATTATTAAATTTTGTCTAAAAGCAATTTAAAGATTTTTCTCACGTGGTTGCAGTGTCGTTTATAAATCAAAGCTCTCTTTATGCAAAACCCAATCTATGATGATGAGTTTATGTGATAAAAGTAATTTTTATTTCTTGGATTTCTCATCCTTCAAACAGCCTTTCCACTTTGTCTCTTCACACTTTGCATTGTCAACCTCCCATAAGAAATTATGCCTACCAACCGATTCCTCAAAACTATTTGTAGCTTTTAGAAGCTTATCGACTAATATCAGGTGTGACTTAAAATTTTCTCTAAACAAATGAAAATCAATATTTTATGTAATACTTTGACTCCTGTGAGCATAAACTTGTATAAAAAGAAACTAAAGAATGCTATCATAATACACATCATAGCCATGCGACCGAGTGCTATGGCTAGCAGAGAAACAAGTTTTCTTTTTGGGTCTTTCACTTGATCATATGGAAAACCTGTTTTAATATGGCTAGCTAATTTTAATTTCTATTACTCAACATGTTGCATAAATGATGGGAGCGATAACCATTTTTCAACTATCATTTGTATACAAACTTTCCTAGCAATCGCAATCGGTAAAGCAATAAGATTGACCACATGCTTCCTTGTTAAGGTTTATCACAGAGTAAGAGTAGTGATCTAAAAATCTAATTATTAATATAATCTAATAGAATGATATGAAAGGAAAATTATTTCCCTTTAACTATACGTTTAAATATATGATTGAGTAATTTCTGCATTTATTTTCCCTTTCTTCCAACATTTCTTTAAGTTTTTCGATCATGAAAATTAAGATTTTAATAACAGATTCATGGAGAAATGGTCAAGAAAACATAACATAATTTCTTATTTTTGTAATGAACCCAATAATTTTTTATTTAATGATTTAGTAGATTTCTTAATATGCATTTTCTTATCATATACTAAGTCATAACTTAACAAATGATTACGTAGGAATTTCAGGTACTTTGTATAGGATGGAGAATGATTTAAGGGATATGAGGTTTCTTAAAATCGTAGCAAGCAATGATGCAACAATGATCAATGAAAAGGAAACAACAATGAATGGTGAGGCAATAGTGGTCATTGAAAAATGCACAATTATAAGAAAGAGATGGGTGAGGGCAACACATGAAAAAAAAATGTTGGTCAAGGAAAGAGGGGAGAAAGTCACGCAAGGGGAAGGATATGGTAATGGTAGTTTCTATGAATTGTTTTTCAACTTCTTTAAAATAATAAAGCACAACTATTAAGTAAGTATTTTTTTAACTATCATTAATGGATATATATATATATATATATATATATATATATATATATATATATATATATATATATATATATATATATATCCTTTTAAAACACAGCCCCTGAATCAATAACTCTGTGTGCGAGGAGTCGCTAGACTGAAAGGTTGTCGGGGAAATCAGGTGGTGTCGCCTACTTGATATAGATTTTTTGTGACAACTAAAATTTTCTATCCTATACAGTCAAGCACTTCATTGAAAGTCAAACTTACTCCTGCTAACTTTTAGCATAGTTTAGAGTCCGTTTGAGCATTCTGAGCTATTATACATCAAAGGGTTGAGTGAATAAGTGTGTCAGTTGAACCTAGAAACTGTCAAACAAGCTTAAGCCCTCATGAGAGGAGTTTACGACCAAGACCTTGGAGTTTACGGCCATAAACTCAAGGTGGCCGTAAACCCCTTGGTATATATATAACCCTTAGTCATTTTCTTCATTTCTACCACTTTGTTTGTAATAGATTGCAAATTTGATACAAGGGGAAAATAGAATTTTTCATTAAAATGTAACAGCCGAAAAGTTAGATTTAATGGCATGAGGACCTTTCATATAATTTTGCAACCCATAGGGATCAGTGGCGTGATTTTTCCTTGAAAGTGCTCATAGTGAGATATTTTGCCAACCAGAATGACCAATTATTAAAATTTGTCTAAAAGCAATTTAAACATTTTTCCCACGTGGGTGCGGTGTCGTTTATAATTCAAAGCTCTCTTTATGCAAAACCCAAGCTTCGATGATGAGTTTATTTGACAAAAGTAATTTTTATTTCATGGATTTCTCGTCCTTCAAACAGTTTTCCACTCTGTCTCTTCAGACTTCACATTGTCAGCTTTCCATAAGAAATTATGCCTACCTACTGATTCCTCAAAACCATTTGTAGGTTTTAGAAGCTTATCGACTAATTCCTCAAAACTATTTGTAGGTTTTAGAAGCTTATCGACTAATATCAGGTGTGACTTAAAATTTTCTCTAAACAAATGAAAATTAATATTTTATGTTATACTTTGAGGTCTGTGAGCATAAACTCGTATAAATAGAAACTAGAGAATGCCATCATAATACACATCATAGCCGTGCAACCGAGTGATATGGCTAGCAGAGAAACAAGTTTTCTTCTTGGGTCTTTCACTTGATCATATGGAAAAC